CAACCAAAATATTATGTACAAGAATTCCCTGTTTCCAGTTAGGGGTCCCTTTGGTTTATCTCTCTGCTGCAGGCATTGTGACTAGCAGTACAGGGCAGTGCTCACAGGAACATGCTATCACAGGGACCAGGAAAAGACATGCAGAACCACACTGCTTACTCCTCCAAACTGGCCCCCCAGCTGCCACCCACTCCTAGATCTTTGTGCTTGTGTCCCTCTGTCATGAAATCAGAGGAACAAAGGTAACATCACTGGTTGTCATTTGGGAGAAGCTATCTGATAAGACCACTACTGCATTCAGGCCAGCAGGCATCAGCAATGGGCTGACAGGTATAGCACGTGGGAGGGGTATGGATGAGCAGGGGCATAAGAAGTGAGGGCAGAGAGTGTGTTCCTGACTTCAGTTCCTTGGAATAGCTCAGACACACTTCCCCTCCACTGGCAAGATTGAAACAGCAGCTAGAGGCTCCAGACCTGACAGGGACTGGAAGGAGAAATGTGGCACCCCTAAAGAGCACAAAGCAGAAGGGGTTCCCAACCCAGAGAAAAGCATTATTTATCATCCATTTCATAGTAGAAAGCTCTCACTCTAAGGGCAAAGTTGGCACGGCCCCTTACATTTACCACGCAAGTTAGAGTGAAGCATTTCAATAATAACAATAACTCCATCCCATCTGTGTGCATTTTGAGGCTGACAGAGGGTACTAAGCCATGGACAGGAGAGTGGGCAAGAACTAGAGAAGCCAGATTTCCTTTGCTTCATATTATAATAAAATTTAACCCCTTGGAACTACCCATGATTGCCCCGGGCACTATAAGCTTTCACTTGTATAAACACTGCCCTAGACAGTGCAGCGGCAGCAAGAATTGGTGACTCTAGCCCCCAACAAATATTCACTTAGATACACCACTAGATGTAATCTCCAGTCCCAACTGCATTTCCTGCCATGCCACATGTGTGTAGCAGGAGGCATGATTTTGGGATTGAGGATCAGATCCCTATCATATCCTACTCATCAGTGCAGGGGAAGCCCGAGATTATGATTCCAGGCTCCCCCTGCACTGGCAAGTTGAAAACTGGGTGCCCACAGGTCTGCAGACAGGGATGACAATCAGCTGATTGTCAGTGTAGGCTTGGGACCGCACTGGGGCTCATTCTAGATCCTAGTGCAGTCCCCAGCCCAGGCAAGAATCACCGATTGTTGGCACAGCTATATTTTCAGTGTAAAGCGTCATACAAAGCAGCCATAAAATTGTCTACATTATACATGGAACAATTTTCTGGCAGATCTGCCATTTCATGGTGCCTCAGACTGTGTGCACGTATAGCACCCTTGTCAATTATGCTGCAATTAATACATTAAATCACAGCATAAGTGTAATGTGTCATGGGGACCTTTGACTCCCCAGAGCTACTTCTTGTTCTTTCTATTCAACCCAGAAAGGTTCTGGGCCCATCAACTCATGCACCTGGGTGGATGCTTCTCACCCTTCCAAAAGCTCGCTGATTCCTATTGGAAGGGAAGAATTATCTGCCCTATCTGAAGAGGGCAGAAATATCTGTGGAGAAATGGAAGGGATATGGGATCAAAGCGAGGTGAAGAGAACTGGGAGGAGCAGTGATGAGGAGAGATTCTGATGGGGACAAGAAAGGAAGAGAAAGATTAATGGAAAGCACAGAAAGAGATGGAGGCAAATTTCCCCAGAACTGACTCCCTTTGGATGCAATAGCTCATCCTGGTGCTGTAAAGCTAGACAGTGTGCGTCAGAAAACGACAGGAACAGAGACATGACAGGAAGGGGAACAAAAAATGAGGAAAGACCAGAGTATGAAACGCTGGTCTCTGGTCCAGTCAGCATTGACGTATACTGGCGTAAGCCTGGTGACCTCAGTGGAGTTATGCTGTTAACACCAGGTCTGAATTTGCCTGCGTGTCAAATCCTGGTCACAATCAAGCTGAAGCCTAGCCTCCTGCACTATTCAATGGGACATTTTTTGGCTCCAACCCTGGTAAGAGAAACCAGACAAATGGACAGAGAGCACAAGAGAGCAAATCCTGAACCAAGCACCTCTGCAGAAGGGACAGTGTAGTGGCATTTCCCAGCTAGGTATGAAGGGTAGCAATGTGCGGGTGGTGAGCAGGGAGCTACAGGCAATTTTCCTCCTTGACAAAGCACTGACTATTACTGATAGGGCTGGGAAACAAACCATCCCACTGGATTAACCCACAAGACAGAGCCCTGCAGGATATAAAGGAGTATGATAGAATTTCATATACAGGTTTCCCTCACTTTATGCTGTACATGCATTCCTGGAAAACAGCACACAACTCATATTTGCATAAAGGGAACCAACTTTACAACGTAAGGAATAGGGATACTTTCCAAGACCTCAACTGTACTGGTCCCTAGACCCATTTCTACCACTTTTACAAGGCAATTTTAGTACTCACCAATGGCACACAAGCACAGGGCACTATCATAATGGGGATGGCAACTACAGAAATACGTATCAGAGACAACAAACGAGGAGCACAGATCCACACAGGAAACTATATTTTGGTGTGCATCACTCCCACAATGCACTGCACAAAGCAGCTGATTGTGGGCTTCCACCACACCAATCACGTAAGAGTGAATTTACCTCACATAATGAATTTTTGGTATAAAGAGGGTCACTGCGCGAGTGAATTCACAGATACAGAACCTGCATAAAGTGAGGGAAACCTGTACATTTTCTGGGACCATCCTACAGAACTGAATAAGAAAACCTAGGCCCAAAAAAAATTGCTGTGGGGTGATGGAAAAAATCTCCGATATTAAATTCTATAGGTTTATAGAGCTATTTCCATCTCTTGATGTCATTAAATATTACAGGATTTTCCCGGAGAGAGAGAGTATGTTACTACAATAACTGTGCTATACAAACCCTTTAATTGCAGTCTCCCCTTCTCCACTGTCAAGATAGCACTGCATTAAGCATTACAAAAATGAATGTCCAGAGTAGAAAACAGAGTGCTAGATATAGGAAGTGTTGCCAGGGACTTGGGGGAACAGGAAGCATGTCTGTCGGGATTTGGGGGTCATAGGAATGCAGCCCTGGGTTTGAGCACAGGGGACTTCATGGTAACAGAAGGCAAAAAAGCACAAACATAGAACTACTAAAAAAAACCTGAACTGTGACACAAAGCACATGAGCCAGGAATTTCTGTGGGAACACTCTGGCCTGGCCTGGCTCTCTGCCCACATCTCTTCTTCCCCCACCCCAGTATTCCTTCTCTCATGGCTCAGGCTTAGCATATGTAAGTCAAAGACAGAAAAGCACCTTTGGCTCTCACTATCCGTCCTGTTCTCTTGCAATGTTTTTTCTGCCTTTAGCTGTCCTCTACTTCCAGACAAAGGCTGAGAGTTCACTCTGATTACAGAAACTTTTTCCTCATCCATCCATCTGCTAGTCATACCCTGCTCAGCACCCCACAAGTAGCCCCAGGTACGAAGTCCCAAATCAAGAAAGTATTTAAGCACATACTTAAATCAATGCCTATTGAATAAAGTACCCAGTTTAATTTTAAAAGCATGCTTTGAAGTCAATGGAACTTCAGCATTTGCTCAAGTACTTTGCTGAATCAGAGCAATTGTTGAATCATGGCTAATGCCACAGAGTTAATTGAGAGCATAATTTAGCTCACTAGTTATGGGAGCATGCCACACTGCTCTGGGACGCTTACTCCAGTAGACTGATAGTAAAGAAACCCCTGGGTAAGTCCTTCATTTCCAGGTGACTCCAGTACCAAACAGTGAAAACTCCTTCCTTTTAACAACCTGCTCTGTTCACTTCCCTGCAGAGTCTGCACCTCCAGCCTGGGGCCTGTGTCTGTTGTCCTTTGGGGAAAATCTGATCCCACTCAGCCCCTCTGCAGCTAGCACTGCTCATCCCTCCCTCTCTTTCCCTCCAGCACGAACCAAATGTCACAGCCCTTTCCCCTTCCCACAGGCAAAGTTAATGCAGCACAGCACATCCCGAAATGTGTTGGGGGTGGCGGGGATGACACATACCTCTTGGGAGCTCAATAAAATAATCCCCAGAGGAAGTAACCCCTCTGTCCTTCTCTTCTTCATACTCGGAGCCCGCCCTGGTCTGGAAGAGCTGGACAGTCCCCGAATGCCCGCTGTTTCCTTCATGGTAAACGTCATTCTCAGTCTTGTCGGTCCCTTCTCCATTCACAAATCCTGAGCAGGCTGCTGGGACAGACAGGCACACCAGTCAAGCTGCGATGCCACAGTGAAAGCCACAGCAAAGCTGGCACTTGGGAGGTGGGGGGCACTCTCTCAAATGCTTGTCAGTACTGGAACAGGCCACCCAGCAAGGTTGTAGGTTTAAGACCCAGCTAGACAAAGCCTTGGCTGGCACGCTTTAGTTGGGGCTGGTCCTGCTTTGAGCAGGGGGTCAGACGACATGACCTCCTGGGGTTCCTTCCAACCCCCAGTGTCTACGATTCTGCTGGGGGACAGGCGCCCAGCAGGGATGGAGGGCCAGCTGTTTATAGCCACGGCGACCCCTGCAAGCAGGGGCGAGCTGACAGCGTGCAGGAGCTGCACACCCGGCAGC